GTGTTTAGGAATGCAAGAGATTTCTGTACATTAATTTTGTATCCTGCTACTTTGCCAGATTCATTGATTAGCTAGAGTAGTTTTCTGGTAGCATCTTTAGGATTCTTTACGTAGAGTATCATGTCATCTGCAAACAGTGACAGTTTTACTTCGTCTTTTCTGATTTGGATTCCTTTTATTTCTTTTTCTTCTCTGATTGCTGTGGCTAAAACTTCCCAAACTATGTTGAATAATAGTGGTGAGAGTGAGCAACCTTGTCTTGTTCCTGAACTTAGTGGAAATGGTTTCAGTTTTTCACCATTGAGAATGATGTTGGCTTTGCTTTGTCATATATGACCTTTATTATGTTGAGATAAGTTCCCTGAATGCCTACTTTCTGGAGGGTTTTTATTATAAATGGGTGTTGACTTTTGTCGAAAGCTTTTTCTGCATCTATTGAGATTATCATATGGTTTTTATCCGTCAGTTTGTTAATATGGTGTATCACATTGATTGATTTGCGTATATTGAAGAATCCTTGCATTCCTGGGATAAACCCCACTTGATCATGGTGTATGATCCTTTAATGTGCTGTTGGATTCTGTTTGCTAGTATTTTGTTGAGGATTTTTGCATTTATGTTCGTCAGTGATATTGGCCTGTAGTTTTCTTTCTTTGTGACATCTTAGTCTGGTTTTGGTATCAGGGTGATGGTGGCATTGTAGAATGAGTTTGGAAGTGTTCCTCCCTCTTCTATATTTTGGAAGATTTTTGAGAAGGATAGGTGTAGCTCTTTGATAGAATTCGCCTGTGAAGCCATCTGGTCTTGGGCTTTTGTTTGTTGGAAGATTTTTAATCACATTCTCAATTTCAGTGCTTTTGATTGGTCTGTTTATATTTTATGTTTCTTCCTGGTTCCATCTCGGAAGGTTGTGCTTTTCTAAGAATTTGTCCATTTCTTCCAGGTTCTCCATTTTATTGGCATAGAGTTGCTTGTAGTAATCTCTTAATGGTCCTTTGTATTTCTGCAGTGTCAGTTGTTACTTCTCCTTTTTCATTTCTAATTCTATTGATTTGAGTCTTCTCCCTTTTTTTATTGATGAGTCTCGCTAATGATTTATCAATTTTGCTTATCTTCTCAAAGAACCAGCTTTTAGTTTTATTGATCTTTGCTATTGTTTTCTTCATTTCTCTTTCATTTATTTCTGATCTGATCTTTATGATTTCTTTCCTTCTGCTAACTTTGGGGTTTTTTTGTTCTTCTTTCTCTAATTGCTTTAGGTGTAAGGTTAAGTTGTTTATTTAAGATATTTCTTGTTGAGGTCTATCCCGATGGGGCTTTTTCTGTAAACCTACATCGTTGGAAACGCCTCATAGATTAACTGTGTGGTTTCGTTTACTCATAGAACTACCTGTTAGATCTGTGGGAAAGAACTACAAGACAGAGCTGCCAAGTAAACTATGAAAAACCTAACAAACTTTTTATCTTAGGTATTGGCATATCCCAATGATCTGTACTGTTCTAGGGTGTGATGGCTTAGGAGTGAATATGATTTGAACCTAATACATTTTTAGAGGGTGTCAAATTCAGAACCAGGCAGATCTATCTCCTGGCCCTAAACATGGTCCTAAAGTAAATCACTTGAGGAAATTGGATCCCAAAGATTACAGGTGGGGAATTTTGAAGTGTGTCCATATTTCATTGGAGATCAAAGAAGCCTAACTAAAAGAATTGTGGGCTGACTCACATGATAACTTCTTTTTGAAAGGGCTATTTTATCTTGAAGATTATGAGTTTGGAAGAGCTAAGGTGATTGGCAGTGGAAAGAATCAGAACGTGTGAAATTCCTTAAAAATTTATTGACTTAAATAACTTTGTGTTACACATAATAAAAAAAAAACTCTTTACAAAAAAAAAAGATATTTCTTGCTTCTTGATGTAGGATTGTATTGCTATAAACTTCCCTCTTAGAACTGCTTTTGCTGCATCCCATAGGTTTTGGGTCGTTGTGTTTTCATTGTCATTTGTTTCTAGGTATTTTTTGATTTCCTCTTTGATTTCTACAGTGATTCATTGTGGTTTTAATTTGCATTTCCCTAATGACTAATGATGTTGGGCATCTTTCTTTGTGCTTTTTGCCATCCATATATTTTCTTTGGTGAAATATATATTCAAATCTTTGCCCCATCTTTAAAATGCATTACTTTCTTATTATTGGGCTTTGAGTTTGTTTGTAATTCTAGATACAAGTCCTTTATCAGATATGTGATTATAAAAACTTCCTCCTTGTCTGTGTCTTTCATAAAGCAGACATTTTTAATTTAAATGAAGTCCAATTTATTTTTTGTTCTTTGAATTATTGTGCTTTGGGCTGTGTATGTAAGAAATCATTGCCTAACTAAAGGTCACAAAACTTTCTTCTTTTTTTAAGTTTTAGAATTATAGGTTTTACATTTATACTTATGATCCATTTTGAGTAATTTTTTCATAGAGTGTGAGCTTGGATAAAGGCTTTTTGTTTTTACTTTTGTTTTTTGCATATGTGTATCCAGTTGTTCCAGCACTATTTATACTTGGTGAAACTGTCCTTTCTCCACCAAATTGCCTATTTATTTACCTTTGTCAGAAACCAATTAGCCATATATGTGTACAACTATTTCTGGATTCTTTTTTCCATTCCATTTGTCTACATGTTTATTCTTCCTTCAATACCACTCTCTTGATTACTGTAGCATTATACTAAGTCAGGAAATCAAGTATATGAATCTTTTAACTTCAAAGAGAAAGTGTATTCTGCTGTTTTTGTGTAGTGTTTTAAATGTCATTTAACTTAGTTTAGTTGATAATGTTGTTCATGTCCTCCATATCCTCAGTGATAATTTTTCTGCTTTCTCTATTAACTGCTGAGAGGGTGTGTTGATGTCTCCAGCTGTATTTGTGGATGTGTCTGTTTCTCTGTTCAGTTTTATCAGTTTTTGCTTCATGTATTTTGAAGCACTGTTGTTAGGTGCATACACATTTACATTTGTTATGTCATTTTGTGGAATAGACGTCGTAATAATTAAGTCGTGTTCATCTTTATCCTTATTTTGAAGTCTGGTTGACATGATATTAATATAGCTATTCCTGCTTTCTTTTGTCTAGTGTTTTCATAGTATCTCTTGTCTATCATTTTATTTTTAACCTATTTACCCTTTATATTTAAAATTGGTTAATTGTATATGGTGTATAGTTTGGTCTTGATTTTTTCAATCTAATCTGATGATCTTTATTTTTTTGAACCTGAAGTAATGAGTCATTTATTAGAAACAAGTCATTGGCTGAACGAGTTTACGTATGACAAAAAATTTGGAGGGTACCCTAGTGTGGTAGATTTTCAGCATAAACAAAATTTTCTTAAAACAACATGGAATTATTTGTTTAGGTCATTGCTACAGATTGAGACTGAAGATTAAGTGGAGTCTGTTGTAGCATGTGACTGATGATCTTTATTTTGAATTGATATGCTTATAAAATTTACATTTAATGTAATTTTTATATGATTGGATTAAAATACACCATATTGTTAGTTGTTTTATTTTTTAATCTCTTATTTTGTTTTGTTCCCCAGCATTTCATTTCTGATTATTCCATTTTAGCTTCATTATTGATTTTTTTCTTTTAAAAATTATTTTATTCATTGCCCTAGGTTACACAATATACATCTTTAATTAATCAGAGTCTACTTTTAAATAATATCATACTACTTAACATGTAATATAAGGACTTAACAGTATTATCTCAAATTCTCCCATTCTTTGTGCTATTTTTGTCATACATTTTACTTTTACATATGCCATAAACAGTGAATTAATATTTCTGCTTTATATAGTTATAATTTAGAGCAATTAAAAATAAAGAAAATAGAATTTTATATTTACCTCCATTTATTCCATTGCAACTCTTTATTTCTTTGTGTATATGTTATATCTTACCACAGTTTAAAAAAAATGTGTTGAAATTGTTCTTACCTATTAACATTTACACCACCAGTTCCTGACTCTTGCTGGCTCTATTAAAAATTTGATGTGCGTGGGTGGCTTGGAATATGCTTGATTTGTATATTTCTTTTGTTCTTTCTTAGAATTTCAGAACCACTGGACTGAATGTATCATGAGAGGTCCTTTGGCCTAATCTTTAAAGTATGACAGATTTACTTCAACTGGTCTTATTTTAAGACTTATCTGAAGTTCTCTAAGGTTGTACTTAAGCCTGCTCCATCTCTTTTTATCTCTGTCTTGTTCTCTTGCTCTCATGACTGGAGAGGAAGCATCAGGACCACAATGTCCTGCTTTTTAATGTTCTCTTTTTAGTAACTTCGCACATGTATCACATACATATAGTTATTGAGTTTCTTCTTACCATTCTGCATTACAAGTAAAAAACTTTCTCTACTTCTCCACGTTTTTTATAGAGTGATAAATTTACTTTTTCTCTGTATATCTTTGACCATTTTAATAGGATTTTCTCCTGGACATTTCACATAATCATTTTTGTTAGGCACATGTGAGTAAGTGGTAGCAGTATTCACCAAGATGAAGGAAACGGTATCTCTATTGGACTAATATTGGCTCTGGGAGAATGCCAGGGAACCAAATGAAGTGGTATAAATTCTCAAGGGCTCCCAGCACCCTTGCCAAGTAGTGGAGACTTTCCTGACCCTTACAGCCTAGTGCTGAAATTAAACCCTCTCCCTGAAGCCATAAGGCTTACTCTTCTCCAGAGATGACTGAAGGCAACAGCCTTAGGCAGGTTACTTGTATAGCGTTGAGCTAGGAGAAAAAGAGCAGACAGGAAAATCTGAGCACACTATCTTTAGTTATGAGAAAAAAATCCTCTCAACAGTTGGGCCAGTCCTATAATAGAACTTATAAACACTTGTCAGTTATGAGGGTAAATGTAAGACATACTTATTTTCAAGCTTTCCGCTTAATTTCTTGTCCAAAGCATAACATTTTCTTTTTGTCTTTTTCCCCCTCAAGGGGTGCTACATCCATTGTATACAGATGCAAACAGAAGGGGACCCAGAAGCCTTATGCTCTCAAAGTGTTAAAGAAAACAGTAAGTTTATTTCATTATATAATAGCATCTCTAAGGGATCTGTGACCTGGAGAAGGCAGGAGCCCTGATTCGAAGGACAAAAGGGCCAGAGAGCTGCTATGTGCAGCTAACTCATTTGAATCATGATTATGAGAGTGCAGCCAAATGGGTTGTTTTTGGATGGAAATTGTGATTCTTTGAAAGCAACTGGATCTCAAATTAGATACGGTTGTGGGGAGGAGAAGTATGGAATGGAAAGACATTTAGAGTTTCCAGGTAAACTTTGCTTTGTCTAACTGTCATGTTTTCAGGTATATATGTACATTTATATAATCTCCAATCACAATTTAATATACTAGAAAAGGTTGCTATTTAAAAATACCTAAATGAAACACAAATAGATGCGTTTGTTAAAGAAGTCATCAGCTTCTAACTTGATTTTCAAATGGTGGGTTTACTTCAGTAAAGTACAACCAGGCAAATGCTAATGTATCTGGGACTGAACCTGCTCATCGAAGAAGTTCATATTTGAACAAGAAGGAAGGATTTTGTTTTCGGATTTTTTTTTTTTTTGCCCTAAGCTTGTAGGTGAGCTGAGGGGGCAAAAGTTACTTAGGCTCATCTCCAATAAGTAAGAAATGCTAAGGTGAGAGTTCAAAATACAAATGCCAGCATATAATACTGGCATTTTTATACTCCCTGTGCCCCAGAGAATATTTGTCATTGTAATGCCCTACTTATACTTTCTGTCCTTAGGTAATTTCCCCTTATAAAACCACAAAAAGACAACATATTCTTTTATAGCAAATTCTTCCCTTTCTCAAATTTTATGTGAACAAATATGTGAAATATATATATTTCTGAAAACCCAGATGTAACATATGCTGAGGAGAGACATACTGTAACTTTTGAAGTCAAATAATACTTCTTGGAGGCCAAGGGATTTTTTTTTTCTAAAGTCAGTTTAATATCACCAACTGTTTATGTATTGTCTGGCACAGGGAAATTTTAGACTCTCATATAATGAAGAAGAGAATAATGGCACAATGTTTTCAGTCAAGTAGAATGACATTTTCAAACAATCTGTTAGAATTTAAGGCCACTCAAGCACCAAGAACAGTATAACTGAAGAAGGTAATAGTTTAAATGGCAATTGCTCCTAATAAGGTCTTTATTCTGGATTTCCTATTTGGTGTAGCCAATGATTCCAGAATGTAGAGGCAGCTTTTGATTGATAAGCTTTGGAGTTTTCTCTTAAATCAATTTCTTATAGTCATAAAATGTATTTGAACTAAGGATTATTAAAATTTCATGAAATAGAATTTCCTGTTGAACATCTGCTTTTCATGAAAATATATTGGCATGCTTTAGCAGTAGTGACACAAGAGATGTTTTTGGACTTGGTTGTATCATTTCTTGCTGGTTAAAAAATTGTCAGTAAAATTTGTGTGTGGTTATTTTATTTTCATAGTTGAGGAAACTTTGAAAGGCACTAGCTATATAAACATCTAGGAAAATGAGTATTCAGAAATGACTTGTGAATGCTCAGAATCCCAAAGGACAAGGGACTGGTTTAGAGAATATTTGTTTATGTCAAAAATCTTTGGATGAATTGGAATAAGAGAGAAGTGAAGACACTTGGTGGGTTCATGACTTTTATTCATTGAGAAAGTAAAGCTCTGATTTGCCCTCCCTGTCTTCTCTCCTCCACCTCTGTTGTGGAAACATCTTGTTCAGAAGACAGGCACGAAGAAAATGTGGACGGGAACCAAGTGTCAGATGGAGCTGCAGAGCGATGCAGTAAGGCAGATGTTGTCAAACACAGTTACTGTTGTACCAAATGGAATGAGAGAAATCCCCTGGAGAAACCTCAGTTTTTAACATAGATGGAATTCCCAGCATTGTCTCCTAGAATCAACCATGCCCAGAGATGTATAAACAAGAGGAATAGCAGGCAAAACCTCAAAGAGAAATTGCCTCCAGTGTTTAATTCTATATAGGTCATGAAGACAGAACTTCCTTATCCAAATGAAATGAATGAAGCCTATAATCTTATTTTAAGACTAAGAATCTATTTATGGAGGAAAAGTGATGTAGGGGAAACAAAGTATTCTTCTAGCAAATTCAGTTAAAGATCTGCTCTTGACGGGGAAAGTGAGCTTCAGAAAACTTGAATGATCTGTGTAATCTATTTATTAGATTGAGCCACATAAAACTTCATCTTTTAAACTATGCTTGACCTATAAAAAATGACAATTTTATGTGGTTCAACTAACAACTTTGGGGCTACTATACCACTTCATTGGATAATTCCTTGGGTCCTCATTTTATGATTAGACCCAAACTTAAGAGGTTTGAAAGATTATCTGTCTACATCTGTTTGTCTGTCTATCATCTATCAACTATCTGTAAGAATTTCATAGGGCTGATTTAATAAACTACCATAAACTGGATGGCTTAGAACAATTAAAATTTATTCTTTTACAGTTTTGAAGCCTAGAAGTCTGAAATCAAGGGGATGGGATGGCAAGGTTGATTCCTTCTGAGGGCACTGATGGAGAATTTGTTCCATGCCTCTCTCCTAGCTTTTGGTGACCATCAGCAATGCTTGATGTTCCTTGACTTGTCATTGCATCACTCTAATCTCTATCTTCATTGTCACATGGCAGTCTTCTCCGTGCATGTCTTCATATCATGTTCCCTCTCTGCATGTCTGTGTTCACATTTCCCTCTTCATATAAGGACACCAGTTCTATTGGATTAGGGGCCCACCCTACTCCAGCATGACCTCATCTTAAATTAACTACCTATATTTACAACAACTAATTCCCAGATAAAGTCACATTTTTAAGGACTAGGGGGTTAGTACTTCAACATATTTTGGAGGGGGGAACACAATTCCATCCAAAATCCTATCAATAAAAGAGGACCTCTAAGGTGAATTTCAAAATATTCCACTCAATAATCTGTCTGAAGTTGAATAAAACTTTTATCACATTCAAGAAACTAATAAACATAAGAAAACCTATCCATTTTATAGGTGATTAGATTCATATATAAATGTTTTTAAGTCCAAGAAAATTTCCCTATCTCTTCCACAAGTTAATTATTTGATAACACTAATCCTCTTCCCCAGGATCTGTTTAAAAGCTGTTTCAGGACAGTTTACCCAAAATTTATTTTGTGGCAATATTATGTTCCTTTCTCATAGCTTAATATTTTAGGAAGGATTTAGTTTACATAGGCAGTAAGGGACTTATTCCCCCTATAAAACACCCTGATTGTCATTAACAATCCATTAAGCACCCATATGTCTGAGTGATAGACAAAGACTCTAATTTATCCAGAGGAAGATAGACTAAAGCATCTACTCTTATGGAGAAATCCACATTCCATTGGTTGTCAAGTACAGGACAGAATTAATACTGATAATAAACATAAAGTAGCTTGTTATGTTCAGACAGTTGGGTATTTTGGCTAATAAAATATCCTTGTGGGAACTTAACATGTAATTATAATTAAAATATTTTAAATTACCATATATTTTATAAAATATCCTTGTGGGAACTTAACATGTAATTATAATTAAAATATTTTAAATTACCATATATTTTATATGTGGATATAATACCATGTTCTTTATCTATAGACAACTACAATTTCTAGAATTAGAATACATTAAAATACATATCTACCAACATCATTAATGTCTGCAACTTACGTTCAGATAGTTCACAATGAAAGAAAAGTGTGAGTGTGTGTATGTGTGTGCACATATAGGGAGAGAGAGAGAAAAAAAATATGGCAAAAATCAATAGTTATTAAATTTAGGACAGTATACTAGTATCCATGCTAGATTTCAGAATTTCAGTATATGAGAAAATTTGAGTTAAACCAAACTTCAACATTGAGATCCTGTTCAACATAACTTTTCTCTGGACATTCAGAAAGCATTACAAGATCTTACAGTTTCTAAATGTCCTGATAAACACCAGTGATTCTCTATTATAGATGTATTGAAGTGCCAGAAAACAGAAAATGATAATTGAACCAACTTTTTACTATACTGAAAATCCTGGACTTTTCCAGAAACAGTATCCATTTGTCTCATCAAGTCATTAATGAGGATAAAGCTTTGAGGGCAGTGAGGGTAAACAAGAGAGGAAAATGAATTGAAGGGCTCTTTTGGTTGTTTATTTTTTTTAATTTTTTTCCACATAGTATTAGAGATCCTTGGACTGAAGAACTCATCAAGTCACTAGGAGTGCCATACCTACTCTCCTCCTGGGAAAGGTGACCCATTTTGTAACTTTTTATTTTAAAACAGTTACAGATTCACAGGCAGTGCCATTTTTGTTGCCCATAAATACCTCATTACCTTGTATGTAATTGGCTTGCAGATATCAGTGAAACTTTTACTGTGAACTTTGTAAAACGGATCCAGGGTGAAGGAAACAAGGCTTCCTTTTTTCCTTCACTCATGAGCCTTTCATCATCTCCGTTTTATGCAATATTTAGAAGAAATTGAAGTAGAGTAGAAAGATTTTCTAAGCTGCATCCTCAGATGAACAACTTTGGGGCGTTAAAAGATTCTGACAGACACGGGTAGTGGGACAATAAGTGATTTACAAGATGGGACCTTTTTATTGATGTTATTTAGTTACGTGACTTTTTAATATGCTGAACTTAAAACTGCACAGAAGGAAAATAATAGATTCAAGAAAATGTCAAAATTTGAACAGATTATGCAGATGGAACCTTCAGTCTGGACTGACTTTTGCTGAGTTAAATGGAATCACAACTTTTGAAGAATTTTGGTGATGATGGAGTCACTACTTCAGGAATGAGTCACAGGCATTATCTCTTTTCCTAAGGAGTACATCCCTTAGGGTGTGTCTAAATAATCACACTCAGGCCCATCAATATGGCTCATTTTCAAGAACAGATTGAGATTTAAGAAAATTATGATCATCAATCATTTATAGTGTCCCTGGAATTTTGAAGACAAATATTTGAATTCT